TGAAGTCAGAAAGGCAAGAATAAATTGAGCCACATTAACACACACACTCAGGGACACATCTTAACTCCTGCAGCAGTGTTCGCTTTTTAACCCCGGTGAATGGGTAAGTGGTGTGGTTCAGGCATAACATGAAACTGTCTCAATCTGCTTCTTCTAGTTATTACTAGCAACTGAGTCATACGCATGTAAGGTCAGCCCTGGGAGAGAAGGAGAAAGCTTTGTTTGTGGCCCTTAGGCCACACTTTCTAAGGAAGGAGAAACACTTTCTCATGTCAGTCCGATTGCAACCGTCTCTTTACCTGCCTGTCTTCCCCACACGAGACTGGAACTTCTCCAGGATAGGGACTGAATTCACCCCAGGGACAGAAGGAGAGACTTTATCGGGCGGCTGAGATTCCTGCACTGGGTATCTGCCCACCTGCATCACTTTCTTCTCCTTGGCAAAGTCAAGCTTTCAACTTTAAAGCCTTAAGACGTTTGGCTTCATGGAAGCCACAGTGGAGTTACTTCTAGTTTGGCAACTGCTTCTGGAACTACCAAAGCGGCTCTAATGGTCCTCCCGCATGTGTGGCTGTGTTATTCCTGAGCCCGGCGCAGTCAGTGTGTGATCTCCAACAGCACCGCCTGCCATTACAGTGGACAAGCATTTGGGGAGTTAGATAACCGCCCTTGACGGCCGCGTTTGACTGGGTTTTGATGATGAACTAGGCTAGAACGAGCCTGCCTCCAGGGTAGGACGTGAGGACCCATCTGTTTAAGGCTGATTATGAATAACTGATAATGAGTGAGCAGACTGAAGTCATGCCCTGATAACAAGACTGTTTGGAAGAGCAAATACCACTTTTTTTAAATATTAGAGATAAATGGTATCTCCCTGAATGCCTGGTCTGGTACTTAGGAGCCGGTTTACACTTTTCCAATTAAAGTGATTCATTCCTGGTTGCATTAGCGGCAAAAACAATTGAACACTTTGGAAAGAAGAGCAAATCATTAAGGTAAAGATATTTTAAGTATAAACAAATGATCTCAAGACCAATAGTAAATATTTAACCCCTTTCTCTTTAACTTCAGTACCAAAATACTGATGATCATGAAATGCAGCTAAAGAATAGAGAAAAGACAGGTAGTAAGGAAGGAAATAGCTTTTGTCCTTTTGGAGTTGATTTGCCAGCTTTGCTCTTCCCAGCACTGTAGCTATATTATTAAAAGTATAGAATGAAAACCCATATGAGTTAAGACATGTTCATTATGCCCATGGCAACCTAGTTTAGGAGAGAAAGAGTAACAAAAATTAATCCTAACACAGAAATAGAGAGAGAATTAGAAATCCAGGTTCTCTCAGCGGTAAATTGTTATTTATATCACCCTTATAAACTAAAAGGGAAAAATCCAAAATCAAACCAGTAAATGATAGAAATATCTTCTAAAGATGCAGCAACGAATTTAAACTTTCTGCACACAATTTTAATGGTAGTGTTGTTTTTCCCCAAAGTTTCCAAAATGTGTGGCTTTGAGCCGAGCCCCATGCTGTCAGCCCACTTTAGCACATTTTAATGAAGGGAAAATGGCAACACTGCTCTCTGAACTGTGTCACAGCACTTTCTAACACGGTCTCCGAGTGTGCGCTTAGGATCTTGGTGTTAACACTTGATTTAGAAAGCACTTTGAAGCTTTGAATTAGGGTCATCAATATAATAATTTGACAGCATCAGTTCTACTTGGTAATAAAAAATGATTCTTTGTCAGAATTCTCAGCATTACAAAGAAACAAAGGCATTCACATATCTCCAAGAAAAGTTCCAGCTCAAGGGCACTTGTGTTCTAATATATATTCCTAATATATGTTTGTGTTTAAAAGATATTAAAATCCATTAGCCGCTCATAAATTTCATCATCATCTATCTTTATCATTAATCTCATATGAATTCTGAGGATTAAGGAACTGCAGTATAATTCACTTTGACACATTCTGTGTCAATAGACGCTCAGCTGAAACCAGTTAAATATGATTTTAGGTTTTAAAGAGGGCATGGATTGTGAAAAACAAATTAGTCATTAAGACATCTAAGATGTTATGGCTTCAACCAAAAACCCTGATAAATCAGGAATGAAATAATGGCACAATCTGTGACACGATGCGAAGAAGAACAAGAGGATTTCAAAGTGACCTAGTGCCCAGATCCCTTACACAGGGCCAGGAGAGGTGGGAGACGAAATAACACACTTAGGGCACTAATGACAACATTCCCACACACATTTCCAAGATAGCTTCAATAGTACAGAAGACACTGACTAAATTTTTCTGTTTGCTTCTTAAAATATAAGCACTGTGAAAATTTTACTCAGAATTGAGTTAATTTAGTAAAGCAAAAAGTAAATTTGACTGTTGAAACAGGTGCAAGCAATTCTCTAGACTAATAAAATTAGTGAGCTGTAAAAACTATTGAAACTGTTAAAAGATGTCTTAAAGCTCCATTATTGTCATTGAATAATCATAATGCCATAACAAGTCAAAATTAGGCTTGGTAGCCTGATGTAGGTTTTTGAGAAAGCATGCTTTGGAGTTAATTGCTTGCTCAAAGTTAAGTGAAATCAGAATTTGTGGGCTCTCCGCCAAGTTCTAGGAGGCCAAGAGGTCTGTTTGTGTCTCAAACTGACCGCCTGTCCTTCTCACTGGACCCTCCCACTTCTCTCAGAGAATCCTGCCTCCATGAAAGTCCAGCTAAAATGCCACTTCCTCCAGGAAAACTTCCCTGAGCTTTCCCTACTCTGAAAGTTCACTGTTCTCTCCTTTTTCCATACTTTGTGGCAAACATCCCAGCAGCCTTGTCCATAAGGAACAAAGACTGACTCTTCACATTTGAATTCCCACACTGGTACTCGGTGCTGACCACATGCCAGGCTCCGTTCTAGGCACTGCGGATATATTAACTCACGTCTTTCTCATTGCATCCCTCAGGGAGGTACTACTTTGTTCCCCATTTTTCCAGTGAAGAAACTGAAGCACAGAGAAGTTAGGTAAGTTTCCCGAGGTCACGGACTTGGGACCTGCCTGGAAAACCAAAATTAGCCATGGGATCATGAAAAGTTTACTAAAGACCCCCATTCTTAACAATTTATTCTTGTAGGGTGTGTGTGTGTGTGTGTGTGTGTTTATGTGTAGAAAATCTAAACCTATTTAGCCTCATAAGATGCAAATTTGTTTTCAGAGTATTAAGACTTAGTACCATACCAATTAAATTCTGGCGCAGTCTCCCACAGCCTAGGACAGAAGCTGAGGATGACCTGGCCTGTGCCTAGCAGTTCAGTGCTGTGACTAACCACAAGTACTGTTACCAGTCCTAACGGCTGCGTACATGTAGGGGTATCAGAAAATGTCACATTCTCGGTTTTTTTCTTTTTTCTTGTTTTTTTCTTTTCTTTCAGTATATGGATTCTTTTTATTTACATGGTAACAAAGCAGTTATATTTTGTTCATCTTTTATTAGTTTTCTATTGCTATCAGAACAAATCACCACAAAGTTCAACAACACAAATTTATTATCTCGTAGTTCGTAGGTCAGAAATCTGCGCAGGCTCAGCTGGGTTTTCTGCTCCAGGTTTCACAAAGCAGAAATCAAGGTGTCAGAGGGGCTATGTTACTTTGGGGAGGCGGTGAGGATGATTGTGCTTCCAGGTTCACTCAGGTGTTGACTGAATTCAGTTCCTTGCAGCTGTAGCACTGAGGTGGGTGTTTGCCTGTTGGCTGGCAACAAAGGGTCCCTTCTCAGCTTCTAGAGGCCTCTGGCACTCCTGAGCTCAGGGCTCTCTTCCTCCATCTTAAAACCCAGCAACGGTGGTAGCGTTCTTCTCTCTCCCACTTGGAATCCCCTGACCTCCCTTTGTGCCTCATCCCTCTGACCCTTCTGCCTTCCTTTTTGTCATTTAAGGTCTCACGGGATTACACTGGGCCCATCCCAATAATCCAGGCTCATCTCCCTATTTTAAGGTTAGTTGATTAGCAATCTTAATTCCTTCTGAAAAATCCCTTCACAGCAGTATCTAGATTAGCGTTTGATTGAATAACCAGAGAACAGGAATCCTGGGGGCGTCTTTAGAATTCTGCCAAGCACTCATGTTGACCCTCAAAATGTAAACATGAAAAAAATGTTTTCTTAACCAGAAGTTAAAAACTTTTGTGTGTTTTAATTTCGTTACTCACATTCTGTATTTTCCAACTAAATAGCTATGTTAGTTATTAACAACAAATGTATTGAAACTAGGAATTTAGGTACAATTCTAATAAAAAGATGCTTTAATCAGTGAGTGTACTACTTTGTATGACATCCCTTTATGATTTGTAAATATATTAATTGAGTTGAATGATAGGAAATTTATATTAATGTATTAATTGCTGGCTTTTTTTTCTTTGACTATCAATAAAACTTTCTATAAAAATAATTTCAACAATATGATTAAATTTTACTTCCAATTTTACATGTAGCACAATGATACAAGTTTAGACAGATAGTAAGTTAGGTGGGATACAAATATATTTCCTAGAGATAAGCTAAATTAATTAAACTGTATAATTGGTCATAGTTACATCACCCTAATGAATAGTTCAAGAATTTATAACAATTTTATGTATTCTGAAGAAGAAATCGGCGTCCTCAAAATCATTTTTGGCAATAGGGGCACACAGGAGTGCTCCATTTATGCTGTTGAATGAATGAATGAATGAATGAATGCGATTTGGTGGTGGCAGGAAGTGCACGAATTTGTTCTAGGAAATACTCAAAGAAATGATCCAAGAATTAACCTTTGTTTTCTCAGCCATGGAAGAAGGTTATAATTAGATGTTGTCTAAGAGTCTTCCTAGCTTCACATTCTATAATCACAATTTGCAAAAATTTTCATTCTGAATTTTCACCTTTTGTTCCATTCAAGATATTCACAAATGCACATGGAAAGAATGTAAATAGAATTTTTCCTAAGGAAAATTTAAAAAGCAATTAAAATGGGATTGCACAAAATTTTATTAAGAGCTTGAGAGATGCAATTTGCTTTCAGTAACAGCTGCCTTTCCAAAATCTGTGAATTCTCAAGATATTAGTCCATAGCCCTGAATGGGGAGACAAAAACAATATGGCAAGGAAGAAATGGTATGGCATTTCTGGCAGTTTACTGAAGGTGTGACTTTAAACAAAGCACTTAACTCTTCTGGACTCCACTTTCCTAATCTGTGAGAGAGACAGGGCTCCCTAAATGAAAGGATATTGCATCTAAATAAACAATCTCACTCTAATGGGGTATCAAGCTGTTTCCAGTGACTGGAATCTTATGGGAAGTGGAGCGATAGCCCCACACCAGGTTGTTAGGAGGTTGCCGTGGACATTGGCTGTCAATATTAAAAAAAAAAAAATCTTTGCAAGTTGATGGTACACAGCCTCTACATGTTGAATGGCATTGTGTGCCTAGAGCATTAGAGTAAGGCAAGTGTCAATGTTTTAAAATTCTCCAGCAATTATTCTACTGTATCACACTCTGTGTTCACGTTTCCTCTCCTCTGACATTTCTACCGCTACAACCAAAGGCCATTTCCTTTTTGGTCTGTCAACAGTGGAAATTGAAAACAGCTGCTCACCAATCCTTTGGATAATAGGTTCTCTGTGCACATCGCATTATGGGGTCTTTAAGGTCACCTCCAATACCTGAAGAGATCACAAAGAAGAATTTTCAAGTTGAGTTGGGCCTTAGTAATCATCTAATCCAACTTCCACCCAAGGCAGGAGGCCCATCTGTAACTTCCATCCTCCAGCCACCGTTTGGCCTCTGCACAAACACTTGCAGAACATGGGATCATGCTCCCCAAAGCAGCACAGTTCTTGTTACCTCACTTAAATTGTTAGAAACATTGTTCTTATATTTAACTGGAATCCCACTATAGTTTTTATAGGACCTTATTCTGTGATCTAGAATCGGGTAGAATGAGTTCATGCATTTTCTTTATAACAGCAGTTTACCTATATGAAGAGAGCTCTCCTCTGACCACAAATGGTTAATTTTAGTTCAAACTTTACCGTTTCTTCATGTGAAATGGTTTACATGCATCTTACTATCATTTTTATTAATTTCTGCATGTTCTCTATTTTCTGAATGTTCCTCTTTTGAAAAATTATTCAAAGAATAAAATACTGTACAGTTCAGTAAAAATAAATGACCTACAGTCACAGGCAAAAATACTGCTGAAACTCACAAACAGAATATTTAGTAAAATAATCAGGACACAAAAGAATATAGTATATTTCCACTTACATGAATTCAAAACCTAACTTGTTTAGGACTGCATATATAGATGATAGAACTATAAAGAGAAGGCAGTTAATAATTATTATAAAAGTCATGATAAGTGCTTACCTCTTTTTTTTTTTTTTTTTTTTTGCTGAGGAAGATGAGCCCCAAGCAAATACCTGTTGTCAAACTCCCTCTTTTTGCTTGAGGAAGATTGTCCCTGAGCTAACATCATGCCAGGCTTCCTCTATTTTGTATGTGGGATGCCACCAAATCATGGCTTGATTAGTGGTGTGTAGGTCCATGCCAGGGATCCGAACTGCAAGCCTTGGGCCACTGAAGGGGAGAACGTGAACTTAACCACTACACCACCAAACTGGCCCCAGTGCTTACCTCTTGAGAAAGACCAGAGGTGTGATTAGGGAAGGAGGGCTAGTTTTGGGGATATTTTGGAGCATCAGCAATGTTCTCTTTCTTGATCCTAGTGGTGATTTCATGATAGTCATCTTATAGTTTCATTAACTGTGCATATATGTTGTGTCTACTTTTCTGAATGTGTGTTATATTTCACATTTGTGCCATTTGCATATTACTCTAAAAATGTACATGCATGCATTTTGACTGAAGAATTCACTTTCCAAATAATTGTCCCAAGCAAATAATTAAGGCTATACACAAAGATTTAGCTCAATGTACTTTTAATGTAATAATGATTATGATTGGGAAAAAAAAAACCCAGGGTAAATTAAATCTGCAAAGTTAAGGTCACTTCCAATTCCTGATTGAGTTATTTATGATATATGTGTCTATTGATATGAAAATATATTCATGATTTTTTGCTGAATATAAGAGAATAAAATACAAATCTGTAATGATTACATTTTTTGAAAAAATCTGGAAAGGATTTTAATGAAATACTAACAGCAATTCTCAGAGGCTTATTATGGTTTATTTTTTATTTATCTCTCTTTTTCATCTCTGATTCTAGATTATTCTGTAAGGATTTGTGCATTGTACTATTTTGTAATAGAAATATTATTAAAAATGGTACTAAAAACGAATGGGCCTAATGCTCTAAACATGTCAGGGGTCAGGCCCCTGCATCCTACACAGAGTCCATTCTTCAGTGCAGCCTAAGTTTTGCACATACTTTGTAGGAGTAACTACAGGACACTGCGTGAAAAAGAAATGGGGAGAGTCAAGCGAAATACGATATCGACTGACTGTAACCCTTATCTTTTTAATTTAGTTCTTTTAAATCCAAGTTATTCAACAGCATAAGATTCAAGCAGTCTTGTCAAGGCCTTGTTAAAAAAAGCAACAGTCTCATACCCCTCCTTTTCTCTATTTCCTGTCTCCAGAGGCAACAGTTTCAACTCTTTCGGCTGACGTATGACTTCCTATTCTGAACAACAGGTTTTCATTGCTTCATTGTATAGCTTTAAGCATTATCTGTTGGCTTCCCGCTACAGAAAGTGAATATGTATCTCTTTTTTACTAACACACCCTTGCCCACACTACACACGTGACTGTTCCTGTCCTCACAACCTACCAAGCACAATTCTGGCTATAAATATTTGGTTTGTGTGCACCTCATCTGGATGGGGGGTGCAATAATCACAGCTGAGTCATGGAGTATCTGTGGTCCTGCAAACGTCTTTGTTTTCCCTGGAGCTCATCATTGTTTGTGTTTGTTTATTTGCCCAGTTTTCACTCTTCTTACCTCCCCCAATTGTATAAACCCCAAACTCTTCCCCAGGTGTTTAAACCTCCTCTCAATTCATCCAATATATTCTGTATTTATCAGCTTAACACACCTTTTAAAGAATTCTTTCCCAGAACATCTGACTGTCTCTAATGGGACCTGCAAGCTTCACTCAGGACATTTTTATCATCTTGGGTATTCTTTCCACGCCTCTCTTTTGTTGATCTTCTCTTTCCCGGATCCCACAACCTCTTCCTTGGTTTACTCCCATACTTTCGTGGAATACACTCCTTTGTAACTTCCTAAAAAGGGATGCATGGAAAGCAATTTTTTTTTTTCAGATTTTGAGTGTCTAAAAATGTCTTTATTCTACCTTCTCAAGTAATTGATGGTTTTGTAAACATAGAATTCTAAACTGGAATTATTTTCCCTCAGAATTTTGAAGGCATTGCCCCACTGTCTTCCTATTGCTATTGAAAAATCTGATATCAATCAGATTTTTGAATTTTCATATGTATAATTTTCTCTCAGAAAAAAATGTGTTGATCTTTTCTTTGTCCCCAGTACAATGAAATTCTACAATAATATATCTTGCTATGGATCTATTTCATCACTGAGTCTGGATACTCTGTGAGCCCTTTCAACTTGAAAACTTGAGTCCTTCCGTTCTGGGACATTGTCTTGAACTTATTTAATAATTTCCTCGCCTCTGTTTTCATACATCTTTCTTCCTGATTCCCCTGTTATTCAGATGATGACACTTCTGGAATAGTCTTTTAATTTTCAATAGAACAAACCAGCTTTCAACTCCACCAGGAGTCATCCAGTTCAGCCAGAGATCCATTATTTTACCCTTCCCAAAAGACTAATATCCAGTTTTCTACCAGAGCAGGAAGGGAATTGGGGAGCTACCAGCTTCTTGTTACCCCAATTAAAAATTAAATAAATAGGAGACCAGCCCAGTGGTGTAGTGGTTAAGTTCATGTACTCTGCTTTGGGGCTTGGGGTTCGCAGCTTCAGATCCCAGGTGCAGACCTAACTCCAGTCGTCAAGCCATGCTGTGGCAACATCCCACAAAATAGAGGAAGACTGGCACAGTTGTTAGCTCAGTGACAGTCTTCCTCAAGCAAAAAGAGAAAGATTGGCAACAACTGTTAGCTCAGGGCCAATCTTCCTCACAACAAATAAATAAATAAACAAGAATGATCTTGAGAAAAAGAAAATGTTTTCATGAAGTCTTTCATGTTCTAGCCTCACTTTCAGCCATCTTCCGGGGGTACTTGGTGCTGCCAACCCTTAGCTTCCAGGAGTTTGTTCAGCTGAGATTCAGCTTTCTTAAGTGTGCTAAAAGAGTAACCATCCATTCACCTGCTTTCTAGCTTTCCAGTTATCTTCTCTTCCACTCTCTTTGCCCTTGTGAGTATTTATATATATATATATACATATATATATATAATTTTTATAGTACTCCAATTTATTATGAATTTGACAAAATGCACAAGTAAACATATGTCTAATTTGCCATTTTAATTGGTAACTTCTCACATATTTTGTCACATGAACTTCTCTCATGACAAGTTTTTTTCATATTTTATATGTTCCAATCTACTTCTCAAAAAAAAAGTAGAGATCTATACTTTTACATTTTAATCTTGTGCATTTTGCCCATTTTTCACCCTTTGAAGGTAATTTGAAAACTCAGTCATGTAGTAGGAATGACAATAATAATAAAGAGAGCTCCTATCTTACGTGTATCTGGAGCTGTAGCATATCAAAGTAACAAGTATCCCTCACAGTTTTGTGTTATCTACACATCTGATAACCATGTTCTTTGTCTTCATTTAAGTCATGGGTTGGCAAACTATAGCCCACGGCCCAAACCTGGCCTGCTGCCTGCTTTATAGATAGTTTTATTAGAGTATAGCCACGCTCATTTGTCTACATATTGTCTATGGCTGCTTGTGCTAACAGGAGAGTCCAGTAGTTGCAACAGAGACCATATAACCTGCAAAGCCTAAAATATTTCCTCTCTAGCCCTTTACAAATAAAGTTTGTCAATCCCTGCTTTAAGTTCTTGATAAAATGTGTAAAATATGACAAGGCTAGATCTAAGCCCATTGGCGAGGTACCACACCTCCCAGACACTGATTCATTAACCAGTACAATTAGGCAACTAGCAATAAATCTATTTAACTCCATGACTTGTAGATAATGCAAATCAAGTACATAAGGTGAAAAAAACTCACAAAAATCCATGCTGACTTTAAATTGAATGAATTGTCCTATAAGATATGAAATCCCCCATCACTTTGTGCTTAAACAGTGACGACACTCAAACACAGAAGAATCTCTGTGGGAGATACTTATGCACAGGCTTCCTGAATCCTCTGCAGGTTCTAAGGAACATGGAATTCTAAGGGATTCTAAGAATTCACAAAATGGGTTCTAAGGAATATTAGACCCGTGGAAGGGAAAAAAGGATTAATGCTATAAGTTTGTGAAATATTGCTACATTCTCTCTCTTAGAGATTTACAGTATGTTAGCACATGAAAGATTTTGAAAATTCCTTCAAAAGAAAAATCTGAATACCCTTGTTTATGCAAATGGCACCCATTGGAAAGTCTCTCTTCTAATTCTGAGACTCTTTGATTCCATCTTATCTGAATTTATATCATTGGAAACATCAAATGCTTTGCTGACATCATTGGTACTAACCAAAATGATTAAAAATATTTTTCATGGTTTTCAGAGACTCAAATAACTTTATGGTTCTCTGTCTGTTCAGCAGTGTTTTACCTGGAAGCTAGTCTAAAAGAAGCTGACGGTTAACCAAGACAGAGGCAGAGCGCTGAGATAAGTGGTGTTAATCATTCGTTGCCTCCCTCTCCCTTCTTCTGAGCCCAGCAGAAAGGAATGAGGGGAAGATAAAAGCAATAACTATTTAGCTGGGGACAGATGGGATCACTTACCGCTGCTGGAAGCAACTGGAATGCTCTGCACTTAGCAACCAACAAAGCAAGGACAGCCCCTCTGCAGGTTTATAGTGAAGCTTATCTGTCCAGTCCAGGACAGCGTTGGCCACTGCTTTTATGCTTTATTTGGTTTAGATCTCTTGAGGGCCATTGATAATGACGGTTCTGTCATCTCTCTCTCACATGAAATCCTCTCCATCATGCCAGCCTACCTGTGAGAGGTGATTCTAATCATTAATAAAAATAATTTATTTGAGCACCATCTTAGGCTTCAACTTACATAGTAATGATGAAATATTATAAACCTAATACTTCTGCTCACTACACAGGTACACACAGAACGGAGCCAGCATTCAAACTCAGATCTTCCGTGTACAAATTCCACGTCCTTTCTAACAAACCATATTGCCTGTCCAAATACTCTTTATTTTTCTCATTCTCTAGTTCTGTCAGTATAGTAATTCTATTTTTTTTAAAAAACCTGCCACTAAAATCATATGTGATTCACATTATATTTCTACTGAACAGCATAGCCTGATATATAGATTCAAGGCAATCCCAATCAAAATCTCAGCAAGCTTTTCTAGAAATGGACAAGCTAATTCCAAAATGTACATGGAAAGGCAAAGGACCTGGAAAGAGCGAAACAAATTTGAAAAAGAAAAAAATTGCAGGACATACACTCTTTGATTTCAAGAGTTACTATAAAGCAATAGTAATCAAGATAGTGTGGTACTAGCATAAGGATAGACAAATAGATTAATGGGAAATAATGGAGCACAGAAGCAGATCTCCGCTCTTATGGGCAACTTGTGGATTTTCAACAACTACCAAGGTAATTCAATGGGGAAAGGATAGTGCCTTTAATAAATGATGCTGGTGAAATCGTATATCTGTATGCAAAATAAAAATAAAATGAAATAAAAACGAACCTTGACTCTTACCTAACACCAAATACAAACATTAATTTGAAATGAATTATAGGCTAAAATTTAAAGATAAACTACTAAACTTCCAGAAGAAAAACATGGTAAGATGCATTCATGAAGTTGGGATTGGAAAAGATTCCTAAATAGAACACAAAAAGCATAAACCATAAAATAAAAAATTGATAGACTGGACATTATCAAAATTCTAAAAATCCGCTTTTTGAAAGGTACAGTTAAGAAAATGAAAAGGCAAGCCATGGACTAGATGAACACAGCCACAATATATACATCTCACCCAAAAACCTGTATCCAGAATATATAAAGAACTCTTATAATTCAATAAGAAAACAAAAGAACTAACAAATAATGAGCAAACTATCTGAATAGTTTCATCACGAAAAAATACAGCGGTGTGCTAACAAGCTCATGGAAAAAAATGTTCAACATCATTAGTCATCGGATAATCCAAATTAAAGCCACAAAGAGCTATCACTACACATCCACTGAAATGGCTAAAATTAAAAAGATTGACTCTACTAAGTGTTGACAAAGATGTGGAGCCACTAGAACTGTTATACATTTCTTTTAGGACTACAAAATGCTACAAACACTTTGCAAAACAGTTTGGTAGTTCCTCATAAGGTTTAACATACACTCACTATGACTCAATTCAATTCCTAGGTATCTACCCAAAGAAATGAAAATGTATGTTCCCACAAAGATTTGCACTTGAATCTTCAACAGCTTATTCATAACAGCCAAAAACTGTCCAATAACAGCTGAATAGATAAACAAATTATGGTGTAGCTATTTAATGAAATGCTCTTTGGCAATGAAAACAAATGAAGTACTGATACATGCAACAACATGGATGAAGCTAAAATAGCTGAACAAAAGTAGTCGGACACCAAAGAGTGAATGTTGTATAATGTCAATTTATGGAACTCCAGAAAATAAAACAATGTACAGTAACAGAAATAGATCAGTGCATGCCTCAGGTCTGCAGTACAGGTGGGATTGACTTTCTATGGGCAAGAGGGAACTTTTTGGGGGTGATGGAAATGTTCTATGTCTCAATAATGGTGGAAATTGCGTGGTTGCCTACGCTTGTTAAGACTCATCAAACTTCACCCTTAAAATGAGCATACTTTATTGTATGGAATTTATACCTCAATAAAGTTGATTTCTTAAACGTGTAAATATGGAAATAGAAAAAAAATCCAGGAGTGCACATATCAGCATTGTAATGCCCAGGTGGTAGAATTAAGGGTGATTTTTACTTCCTTTATTTTGTTCTTCTGCGTAACCTAGTATTTCCATTATTATATGTAGTGTTAGTGGTACGAAAAGATTAAAGTAAAAATGACATCCATTCATTAAAAAGGACAAAAGCCATGTATGTGCTTTTCTCATCCCCTGTAGTGATTTTCTTACCTTCTCAGGAGAGCAAGGCCAGGCTTCATCGCTTCATCACCTTCTGAGCCCAGCGCCCCCAGTAACAGCAGGTGAACTGAATTAAAATGCTAGATTCATTCTGGTTAGCATCCATATCTAGACTGCCCAGCCTGCTGTCTCTTGAGAATCATTTAGAACTTTCTCCATCACTGCTCTTTTCTGGGCCTTACCTATGTCCTCCACCTAGTTTTACAGCTCCACAGGGTGTGTCAAAGAAAAACCAGAGCTGGACAGTAGTTACAGCGGTAAAAACAGATTTTACCCAAGAACTATTGCAATAGGGGAAGAGAAATCTCAGTAAAGGACTAGGCTCAACTCCAAATATAACAAGGAAAAGTGTGGATTTATAGCCAAGGAGCAGGGTGGAAATTACTGAGGCGACATTACTGGTAAGGGGAGATTTTGGCTAAATCCACTTGACAGGATTCTTGCAGAAGGCAGGCTGGGGGATCAGACATCACCTGGGGGATGGTGGAGGATGAGGTATTTGATCAGATATCAAGGGTGATGAGATAGTGAGGGGAGGGGATGCTCAGCAAACTGACTTAGCAGGATTCTTGCTCTTGAGGACAAGGCCCAAGGACGGGGCTTAGTCTCAAAAGGGCTTAGAGGAGCCTGCCTCAAGTTTGGTCTTTGTCAGGTGCCTTTTCTCTTCTCCCATGTTGGCTGGCTCTCCTTCCCTGTAAGACCCAGGTGGATCACAGCCCCTGCAGGGAGTCACCAGATACAAGGACAACCCCTTCCTCCAGAATGGGGCGGTTGCCCTTTCCAGGACCCTGTGCAGGTTCCTTGCTGGTGAGAGAGTGCCTCCTCCTTCAGAAGATCCTCATACAGGCTTCCTGGGAAGAATGTCCAACCTGGGAGAGCCCCGCTTGTGCAGTTTCCTCCGCCTATTCCCTTCCCTCCTTGAAATCCTTTTTTCTGCATTGGCTAGCTTCTGCCATTGTTTTCTGATCCTAGGAGGCATTCCTTCCTTGCCTAGAAAGTTAGGTGATACAGAAATGTTACTCAATGCTTTTCACTTCCTCATTCTTCTGGCAGGCAGAGCAGTTTCACTTGCAGCACAGGCCTTTGGTGCGCGCCTCCTCCAAGAAAAGACAGAAAAAAGTATCTAGTCCATCCTGTACAACGCAGGAGGCTCCTCTGGGCCAAGGTGACAGGCCTGATAAACTGAATCAGGGACAATGGGTGCATTCCCAAGCAGAGAAAGTAAACTTCTGACACAGCAGGAAGCCAGCCAGACATAAGGCAGCAAGCTAGCAAAGTTCCCTGTGTCGGACCATCTTGCTTCACAGTACCTCCTCTAATGTCATTTTTTCATAATGTTTTTATCTATCGTGTCAACAAATCAACAAAATATCATCTCAAAGAATTGCTGAAAAGGTGCTAGTTTCAGAGAGTATAGTCAGGAGACTTGCACCCCTGCCTAGCTGGGCTTCTGCTCCTAGGATGGAATAGGCAGGCACCACAGAGGGGACAAAGTCCTGGTGGCATTGAGCTATTGGTGCAAACAGGACTGACAGCTGCGACGAGTGCTGGGCTGTCGAAACTCTAGTCCAGGTGCCTGAGAAGTATCCCAGACACGTGTAGGACAGGGGGGTGGTGACAGGGGTTCTGTGTCCCCTCCAGTGTGGTGCACTGCCTTTTTGATTTTAAATATGTGCTTGCGCATAGAAGGAAACACAGTACCTAAGCTCTATGGGACTCAAATAGTTGCATATAGCTCAGTTACTAAATAATTCAGAATTACTTTAGTTCTTACAGAAAAGGATAAAACCGAATTTAATTCTAACGGGAAAATCTGTGGTATTTGAAATGCTGTGAGCCTAGCCAGGTCCCTGTCATATGCAATATTTGAGAAAAGCATCTGTAAATGATGAAATGGGTCTTTGAACAGTGGGGAAATAATCTCTTTAGTGCTGCACTGGGTAATCTCCATGAGCCAGTGCTCAGCGCTGAACAGAGGGTTAATGGAGAGAAACACAGCACAATCAATGCATCATGTCAAATTCGAATCCAAAGATTT